GAGCTTCCTGATGGGAGGCACTGGCAGTGGGGAAAACGGGGTCTTGCTCTGGTGGGCAGGGCCACGCTCATTAAATATTTAATTTTCTGCTGACGTGTGGGGCTGTGCTCCCTCCCAGCAGTTTGGCCTGAGGCGACCCAATCTTGGAGTCTGCAAACCCTATGGTAGGCTACGGGCTCTAGGGCAGGGGTAATGGTGACCTCCTCCAAGAGGACTTGGGCCAGCACACCATGCCTCCCAGGACTGCTGCTGTCAGTGCCCCTGGCCCCAAGGCAGGCCACTGTCAGCCCACGCCTCAGCCAGGCTCCCAAATACTCACAGGCAAGTCTGGCTCAGTCTCTTGTGGGGTCACTGCTTTTTTCTCCTGGGTTCTGGTGCACATTAGGTTTTGTTTGTGCCCTCCAAAAGTCTCTGTTTCCCCAGTCCTGTGAAAGTTCTGTAATCAAATGCCACAGACCTTCCAAACCAGATTCCCTGAATATTCATTGGAAGGACTGATGCTGAAGCTGAAGCTCCAATACTCTGGCCACCTAATACAAAGAGGTGACTCACTGGAAAAGACCCTGATGCTGGGAAAGACTGAGGGCAGAAGAAGGGGGTGACAGAGGATGAGATGGTTAGATAGCATCAATGACTCAATGGACATGAGTGTGAGGCAACTCCAGGAGATAGACAGTAAAGGACAGGGAAGCCTGGCGTGCTGCAGTCTGCAGGGTCACAGAGTTGGAGACGACTAAGCAACTGAACAACAACAACTAAACACTAAAAAAATTTTTTTTTACTTACTTATAACTATGTGATCTAGTAAACTGACTATAGTGATGCCTCCAAACATGAGCTATGCTCAAGGCCTAAAAAATTTTTTTGAATCATAAAATAATTTACTCTTTGCTTGTGTGCATGCTAAGTCACTTCAGTAGTGTTCGACTCTGCAATCCTATAGACTGCAGCTTGCCAGGCTCCTGTGTCCATGGGGATTCTCCAGGCAAGAATACTGGAGTGGGCTGCCATGCCCTCCTCCAGGGGGTCTTCCCAATGCAGGGATCGAGCCCATGCTTCCTGCAGCTCCTGCACTGCAGGCAGATTCTTTACCACAAGCCACCAGGAAAGTCCAACTTACTCTTTTAGCAGGAACAAAAATGGTGTCATATGGTGTTTTCTTTGTCATTGTTATTAACTAGAGCAAAGGTGTGATAAGCTCCTTAATGTGTCTAAGTCCCAATTATGGTTTTCCATAGAGGGGACTATAATGTTGGAGTCAGCAAACACTATAAACTGTAAGACCAAAAGCAGACACCTTGGAGAGGAGAAAGACATCAGTGACAATAACAGTCAGGTAAGTGGTCTGTTCACACAACGAGTAAAATCGGAAACAGATGACCAAAGTTCTATTAGGCCCATCCTTCAATGGTAAAACTATTTTACCATCATCATTACTGAACATGAAATGGTGACGGATAAGGTCACTAACAACAAATGGAGTCCTGGAATACAGCCAATCTACAAGTGTGGAAGTGTCTGCACAAGATATACTGCTACAACACACAGGATACTTCAAAGAACTGAAGGAAGAGTAACGAACATCAGAGAACTTAAGCAGCTGTTATAAAAATCTAAAATAAGGGTAGTCACAAGCAAAAAAAGTAGAGGAAATCCTTAAAACCGACTAACAGATACTCATTCCAAAGGACACAAATGCAAGGAAAATCCTACAGCCAAAGCCAAAAAAATAGAGCTCTCATTTTAAGCAAAGTTTGAACTAAAAGAACCATTTACTTTTTACCTGCATATATACATGTTGCCTCTCAAAGGAATTAATTTAGAAAGCTGTATTTATTCAAGAACCAGAGGTGGCGACTTAATTATTGCTGAACACTCATTTCTTGAACTATCTTCAGTACTGGGTGGGCGTAACTGTATAGACTTACAATGTTTTTAACCCCAAATGCTACTTTGTAGCTTTACTTCCCAACATGTTCACTAATCTTGCTCCAAATGAAAGAAAGAGCACCGGAGTTGATAACCTTTCAGCCCATCTAATCAACCTCATTTACAAATAAGAAAATATAGGCCCAAAGAGCAAGTAATTTTCACAAATTCTTTCAGCAAGTTAATGGTAGGAAGTACCTACCCACCTGACTGTGGTCAGAACTGTGACATCACACGGTCTCTCTAACTTGTATCAGAGACTAGGGGGCACCCTGAATATTAAAGACTGGGCCATGAGTACACAAGCCAGCTTCACTAGAAGAGGACTTTGTATAATACTCTGAAGCTGCAACTCTGAAAGAGAGTCTGACACATTAACAGCAGTGTGCTCAATAAATGTCTCTGAATCAATGAATCAGATGTATATGTTTGGGCTTATTTATAAAAATATTCACCATATCCTTTCCTGGTTAAGTTACCCCACATATTCTTCATCTGCCTAGAGGCTGGTCACATTTCAATTGTTTTCAATAAGTCAACTGAGGTCTTACACACACAAACTAACCTTTTATTCAAACACTTTAAAGTTCCAGGCCTCATCCCTTGTCCACCTTTAAGAGGATTCTGCACCGGGTTAATGTTCTTCAAAGCAGAAACCAAGTACATACCCTTTCGTTTTTCTCATTTCATAAACAGGAGTTGTGAAGAAAAGATTTTATGTAAAGTGAAGAAAAGTTAACAAAAGGGACCACGCTAAAAATTACATTTTAATATTTTAGTTTCTTCAAAGCTTAAACTACACTTACAGAGATCAACAGATGTCCTCATTGGTTCACTGCTTTAAAATAAATCGTAGGATGTGAGGTTGTGGATAAATTTTATATTCTCTTTACTTTTCTCTATTTCCTAAACACTCTAATGCTCATATAACTTACTCTCATAATACCAAATGCGTATCAGAGCAGATAACAGGAATAAAATATGACCACAAGAGGTCTAAGGAAGCCAACGACATTGGAGAAGTTACCATATGCATGAAGTCAATACCGCTTCAGCAAGGGCTTTAAAAAAATTTCCTAAGATATCAGTACCATGTCATTACGACTGCTTTTTTTTTTTCTTTTAAGAATAGTACAACTCCACTATGACGAAAGAAAACACGACAGGCGGTAGAGATGACAACTGAGAAATTTGTTACGTTCTGCTCCAAGACAAACACAGCCTTTCAAAATACACGATACAAAAATCCACGGGCTTCTGTGTACGTTACGCATTTTCTTTTTCAAAGTCGTATCAAGTAAGCGTTGATGTGAATTCTCACCAATGTCACATAAAAAGAATGACCAAGCCCAAACCCAAGCCAGACGAGGCGTTCTTAACGATCTCCTGGGAGGAAAAACACGAGCGTCATAACTGATTCAATATTCACCTCCCAGTGGGAGGGAAAAACTTCAGAGCTCCTACCCTTGAAACAGTTGGCGCGGTAAAGAAAGTCGAGTCCCGGTGCAGAAAAGCAGGAAGAGCAGGGCAGGAAGAGACGCGACGCAGCCCCGAAGAGGTCTTCCGCCCCCAGCGCAGAGCGAGCACTCGGCGTCCTCGCCCCCCGCCCCGGCGCCGGCACACCTGCCAACGCTGGCCCGGCCCGCGGCGCCCACCCCGCCGCCGTCCCCCGTTACCCCCCTGTCCTCAGCCCGGGTCGGCCGCGCGGGACGCGAAAGAAGGCTGGGCTCACCGGGTCCCTCCGGGCTGGACGGCGCCGGGGGCCGGTGGGGCGGGGACCCGCACCCGGGGTCCCCCTGGGCGGGCTCCCTCAGGTAATCCTCGAAGCGCACCTGACGGGCTTCGCCGCCACCCCCGAAGCCCCACAGGCGGTTGGCTGTGCCCCGCAGAAGGCGCCCGCTCTTCCCCGTGAACGTGGTCAGGTAGTCCATCCTGCCACGGGGTGCAAGAGCCCTGGAGGAGGCCGACGGTTTCTGCCGCGACGGCCGCCACTCGGTGCGCGCCCGCCCGCGCGTCCGACCCGACAGCGGGGGCGGCGGCGGCTCCTCACGCCTCCAGGGAGGCGGGGATGGGGGAGGGGACGGCCGCCGCTCGGCCCGGGGCGACCATCAGGGAACCCTGCGGCGGGGGAGTAGGATCGGAACGAAAGTTTTTGAAAAGTTTTTGCCGTTGCTTCCCAACGCCGATTCGGGGCCAAACTTAGCTTGGAAAGTAGACACATACTTTCTGGAAAAGAGGCCGCGGCGAAAAGCGGCGACCTTTTGGCAAGCCCATTGGGGCCTGTCCGCTCCCCCCCCCCGGGCCTGGCCCCAATGGAGCCGGCCCGCCCCGCCCTGCCCTGCCCGCCCCTCCCCGGCCCGACCCGACCGGACTTTCAGGCAGCTGGGGGAAAGCTCGGGAGGGCGTTTCCCGACCCGAGGGCCGAAGGGACGTCAGGGTGGCCCTGCGGAGGCTTTGCTGGTTTTTGCGCAAAGCCTGGGGCCTGGGAGGGCAGCGTCCAAAAGTTTCTGTCCGTCAAGAAGTTTCAGTGAGTTCATGTGTGTTAGGGGGAGGGGCACGAATCCACAGGAAACTTTCTGCAGTTTGAAATTTGGGGGAGGGAGGCCGATTGGGTGAGAGGAAGGAGAGGTTAGTTTTAAGGTCGTAGTTAACACAAAACAGCCCAGATTAAGATCTTCCTAAGGAAGCATTATGAGACCATCTTCGTAAAATAAAGCATCAGTCGTCACGTTCGAAGTTCACTGTGGCATTAGGAACTGATGTTAAGAGTTTGACATTCCATGACTGGTCCTGTAAGGCAAGGTAATTAGGGCTTTAATGTGCATCTTTATCCTTTAAGGAAAGAAAGCAGTGACATTTGACGGGCATTTAGTACCCAATTTGTCTCCTGTGAGAGCTGGTTATTCTCTTCCTTTTACGTCTGTTTGAAGGATCTTTAACGAAGTGGGCTTCCCAGGTGGCGCTAGTGGTAAAGAACCCGCCTGCCAATGCAGGAGACAAAAGAGAAGTAGGTCTGATCCCCTGAAAGAGGGCAGGGCAACTCACTCCAGTATTCTTGCCTGGAAAATCGCATGGACAGAGGAGTCTGCTGGGCTACACATAGTCCATAGGGTTGCAGAGTCGGACACGACTGAAGCCACTTGGGAGACGTGGCTCTTATTTTTTCCCATGCATTAAATAAAGCTTTCTTGGAATTACCAATTTATTAATGTATTTGAAGAAAGTGTTTGAATTAGAAAGTGGGAGAGCTAATCATACCAAACAATGGAGTCCAGAAAACATCTTTCAGGAACTTAAGCGTTTTGCCAAAACCATTGAAGATTATCCTCCGAGCCGCACACCCCTGCCCCCTTTTCAATTATTTAACTGGTCTTTTTCTTACTGTCACCATTTTCAGCCTAATAGGTTGAACAGACCATTCCAACATCAGCATCACTTCTATGCTTGGTTAAATGGACAGAATGTCTGGGATATACCGCAGAGTGTAATTCAGTGTTTCTGAGTAAGGACCCAGGCATGTGAATATCCAGCAACCATCCATGTGTTCAGATGTGGTGCTTGGGAAAGCACTGCTCTGGACTTCCTTCTCTGTACCTCCTAGGAACGCATCTGGTAGAGCAGTAAGTGGCTCCCAGTTTTTCTGAGATTTCCATTTGATAAGGAAGCACGAAGGTTAGCACTACTTCATAAGCTTTAAAAAATTGAATTTCAGTGACAAGTCTAATCCTGATTAACTAAACTGAAATTATTTTACTTTTCTAAAATATATGTTACATCTTCACATTTGCCATTTATTTTGTGATAATCATATGCAAATCAGTGATTGAGTTTTTTATACCTGATTAAATCTGCACTTTTATCTCTAACCTTAGCAAGAACCTGTACTCTACCAGTTCAAACACTGGTTTACAAGCAGTTAACTTGTTTTGGTTTTTTTTTTTTTCCTGCTTCGGTTTCATAGAAACATAGAGCTCCAGATAAAAACTTTGATGATTAAGTGCTTTACAAGTTTTTATTTAAACTCAGCCAAGCCCTAATGTCTCTAAAATCCATCTATTCATTTCATCAGCTTTCCTTTTTAATTCTTCACATTTGTTGTCTGAGCTGTCACTATTCTCCTGAAGTTACTAAATTCATTACTCAAACATGTTACTTGGTCTATATGACTCAAAATAATAGGCCATGAAATATAAACACTCTCACTTTTCTTCCCCTTTTCTTTGTAATCTACAGCAAGCTCATCTTCATATATTGCCTCAGAAGGAAGTCCTTGCTTTTGTCCATGCCTTTCCTTCTCTAAATTAATTCCTGACCTTAGTCTGTTATTGTCTATGACTTGCCAACCTTATTATTCCTTTCTGCTTTACTATTTTTTCTCTCTCCACTCTGGTTCCTTCCTCCTTATCCTACCTGTATCATCCACAAATATTCCTCTCATGCTTTAAAAAAAAAAAACACCAAAAAATGGCCTTCCTTATATATCATGCCTGACTCTTCCAGCAACCCTTTGCTTTATTTTTAAAATAACTTTACTGGCATATGATTTTACAAACCATATAATTCATCTGTTTAAAGTGTACACTTCACTGGTTGTTAGTATATTTAGACAGTTGTTAAGCCATCCCAGATCTAATTTTTGAATATTTCTATCATGGACACAACTTAGTGATTGAACAACAGCAAAAATCACCTCCCAAAGAAACTTCTTATCCTTTGTAGTACTCTCCAGTCTCACCACAGGCATAGACAACAACTAATCTACTTTCTGTCTCAATGGATTTGCCTTTTATAAACATTTCACATGAACTGAATCATACAATATGTGGTCTTTGGTGTTTGACTTCTTTCAATTAGCCTAATGTTTCTGAGGCTTATTCATGTTGTAACATGTATTAGTAAGTCATTTCTTTTTATTGCCAAATAATATAGGAATAGATATTTATCCATTTATAAGTTGATGGACATTTGGATTATTCCCACATTTTAGCTATTATGAGTAATGTTGCTGTGAACATCTATGTATAAATTTTTTTGTGGACATATATTCTCATTTCTATACCTGAGGTTGAATTGCTGGATTTTTTTTTTAATATAGTCTAAGTTTAAGGTATACAATGTGATAATTTGATAGGAGTATATGTAGTAAATATTGCAAAATGATTACCACAGTAGGGTTAATTAACATTTCCATAAACTCATATAATTACCTTCTTGGTATAGTTGCTAGGAGAACATTTAAGAGTTACTCTCTTAGCAACTCTCTTCAACTATATAATGCAATATTGTTAACTACAGTCACCATGTTATATGTTAGATCGCTCACAAGCTATTCAACTTAAAATTGGAAATGTAGGGGCTTCCCTGGTGGCTCAGTGGTAAAGAAATCTGCCTGCCAATGCAGGAGACAACGGGTTCAATTCGTGGTCTGGGAAGATCCCACAGGCCTCGGAGCAACTAAGCCCCTGCACCACAATTATTGAGCCTGTGCTCTGGAGCCCGGGAGTGTACCTACTGACCCACGTGCTGCCACTACTGAAGCCCGAGTGCCCGAGAGCCTGTGCTCCGCAACAAGAGAAGCCACCACAATGAGAAGCCCACGCACTGCAACTAGAAAGTAGCCTCTGCTCGCTGCAACCAGAGAAATCCCACGCACTAATAAAGACCCAGAACAGCCAAAAAATCAGTCAATAAATAAGACTTAAAGAAAAAAAATTGGAAATGTATGCCATTTGAGCAACATCTCACCATTTCCCCCATCCTCCAGACCCTGGCAACCACTATTCTACTCTGTTTCTGTGAGTACAGTTTTTTAGGTTCCACATGTGAGATCATATAGTTCACAACCTGTCTTTGTCTGACATTTTAGCCAGCATACTGCCCTTAAGGTCCATCCATGTTATTACAAATGGCGTTTCATTTTCATGGCTGAATAATATTTCTTGGTGTATCTAAACCTCATCATCTTTATCCATTCATCCAATGATGTATACTTAGGTTGTACCCAGGTCTTAGCTATTGTGAATAAAGCTGCAGTGAGCATGAGGGTGCAGATTTCTCTCTGAGATAAGGATTTCATTTCCTACGGATATATACCCAGTAGTGGGATTGATGGGTCCTACGGTAGGTCTATTTCTAATTTTTTGTGGAACCTCCATACTGTTTTCCATAGTGGCTATACCAGTGTATACACACCAACAGTGCATGAGGGTTCCCTTTTCATCACATTCTTGCTAACACTTAATCTCCTACCTTTTTGATAACAGCCATTCTAATAGGTGTGAAGTGATCTTATTGTGGTTTTGATTTGCATTTCCATGATGACTAGAGATGTTGAGGATGTTTTCGCATAACTGTTGACCATTTGTATGTGTTCTTTCCTTCTTGTCTTGTCTTCTATGTCTATTCAGATCTCTGCCCAGTTTTTAATTCAACCGTTGGTTTTCTGCTATTGAGTTTTATGAGTTCCATATATATTTTGGATATTAACCCCTTTCAGATAAGTGGTTTGCAAATACTCTTCTCCCATTTCTTAGGTTGGCTTTTTATTTGTTGATTATTTCTTTTCTGTGATGCAGTCCCTCTGGGTTTTTATCATTTTTGTTGCCTATACTTTTGGTATCATATCCAAAAATTCACTGTCAAGATCAGTGTCAAGAAACATTTTCCCTCTGTTTTCTTTTAGGAGTTTTATGGTCTTTTAGGTCTCACATTTGAATTTTTAATTTGCTTCTAGTTAATTTTTGTATATTTTGTGCAATAAACGTAGAATTTCATTCTTTTGCATGTGACTACCCAGTTTCCCCAGCAACATTTATTCTTGGCTCCACTGTCAAATATTAGTTGATGGTATATGCATGGTTTATTTTTATTTCTGGGTTCTTGATTCTGTTTCACTGGTATATGGATGTACCATCTGTGTCTGTTTCTATGCCAGTATTCCACTGTTGTTTTTTTTTTTTTAATTAGAGGATAACTGACTTACAATGTTGTGTTGGTTTCTGCTGCACAACATGAATCAGCTGTGTGTGCTTGCTCAGTCACTCAGTCCTATCCAGCTCTTTGTGACCCCCTGGACTACAGCCCACCAGGTTCCTCTTTCCATGGAATTGTCCAGGCAAGAATACTGGAGTGGGTTGCCATTTCCTACTCCAGGGGATCTTCCTGACTCAGGGATCGAACCCGTGTTTCCTGCGTCTCCCTTATCAGCAGGTGTATTCTTTACCACTGAGCCACCTTGGAAGCTATAAGTATACATATATCCCCTCCCTCTTAAATCTTCCTGCCACCCTGCACCGCCCCCCCATCCTAGCCCTCTAGGTCAAAATAGAGCAGTGAGCTGAGCACCCTGTGTGGTACCATTGCAATAAATTTGAAATCAGGAAGTGTGATGTGCATCAGTTTTGTTCCTCTTTCTCAGGTGCTTTGGGGTCTTCTGCAGCTCCACATGAATGTTAGCATTGCCTGTCCTATTTCTATGAAAAATTCCATTGGAATTTTGATAGGGATTGCACTGAATATATAGAACACTTTGGGTAGTATGGACATTTTTAACAATATTACAATCCATGAACATAGGCTACCTTTCCATTTATTTGTGTCTTATTCAACTTCTTTCATCAGTGTCTTGTAGTTTTCAAAGTAAGAGATCTTTCACCACCTTGGCTAAATTTATTCCTAAGTATTTTATTGTTTCTGATGCTATTGTGAATGGGATGATGTCCTTTTTCAAATAGTTCATTTTTAGTATATATGAATACAACTGATTTTCTCTGTCGATTCGTATCCTACAACTTTATGAAATCTGTTAGTTCTAGCAGTACTTTTATTGGAGTCGTTTTAAGATTTTCTGTATACAATATCATATCATCTGTAACTTTACTTCTTCCTTTCCAATTTGGCTGCTTTTTATTTCTTTGTCTTGCCTCAGTGCTCTGGCTGAAACTGCCAGTACTATGTGGTTGAATAAGAGTGGTGACAGTGGGCATCCTTGTTTTCTTCCTGATCTTAGAGGAAAAGCTTTCAACCTTTCATCACTGAGTGTGATTTTAGCTGTGTCTTATCATATATATACCCCTTATTTTAAGGTATGTTCCTTCTATACCCAATTTATTGGGAGTTTTTGTCACAGAAGGATATTGAGTTTTGTCAAATGCTTTTTCTGCATCTATTGAGATGATTGTATGAGTTTTATCCTTCAGTGTACTGATGTAGTGTATAAGATTTATTGAGTTGCACATTCTGAACCATTTTTCCATTCTAGGAATAAGTCCCACTTGATTGTGGTGTATGATTCTTTTAATGTGCTGCTGAATTCTGTTTACTAGTATTTTGTTAAAAAGTTTTACATCTATATTCATCAGCAATATTGTCCTGTAGTTTTCTTTTCTTGTAGAGTCCTTATCTGGCTTTGGTATTAGGGTAATGCTGGCCTCATAAAGTGAATTTAAGAGAATTCCATCCTCTTCAATTTTCTTGGAAGAGCTTGAGAAAGACTGATGTTAATGTTTCTTTAAATGTTTGGTAGAATTCACCAGTGAAATCATCTGGTCCTGGACCTTTCTTTTGGGGGATGTTTTTTATTACGGGTCCAAACCTCTTCTATTATTTCTCTCTTAAGATTTTCTATTACATTATGATTATTTTAGGTTAAAGTTTTCTAGACATTTACCTGTTTTTCCTAAGTTATCTGATTCGTTGGTATGTAAAATTTTTCATAGTAGTCTCTTACAAACTTTTATATTTGTATGTTATTAGTTGTTTTACTTTAGACTATATTAGAAATAATTTCCCTATCTCTGCTTTGTATTTTTTTGTAGGTATTAGAAAAATGTGAAAAAGAAGCCGACTATGGCCATCGACCCTACTCCCTACCCTGGGCCTTCGGTGGGTGCTGAGTAGGCTCTACAACCAACACAGGCACAAAAAGCGTTTAATGAACGAAGTCAACAAAGACTGGTTAGAAGCCACTCTGTGCCTACTCTCCTGGTTTTCTGGGAGTTAAGGAAGGAAAGAGTGGAGAGAAGATTCTTAAGACACACAAAGAAATGTACAACAGCTTTGTTAAGACTCTCAAATTGAGCTGGTCCTACCACCTACTGCATGATACATAAATGCATGCATTTATATTTGCTCATTAAACCCTACATGTTGTGTGACATGAGATCTCTCAGTTTTTAGTTTCTCCCTTCTTTAATCATCTCCAACACTGCAGCTGGGTAATCTCAATCTATAGATCTAACTGTTGCCTTTCCTCTAATTTAAAAAACTACAAAAAAAAACCCACAAAAAACTCCTGTTCACAGCAGGAGCATCCTGCTGATAATGAGAATCAGCTGTGGAACATTTTTTAAAAATTCAAATTTCCCAACAATACCCCAGAGAACCTGATTCCAGGATTGTAGGGTGGGTCTCAGGAACCTCATTTTTTTATTATGAGCCATGTTTGAGATCTGCTCCTTATATTATAGTTCTTTCAAGTGTTTTGCATATTTAGTTCATGCAAATCACACATTTACTTCTGAACTAGGACCACAAGATTAGTTTTGACAAACACTGAGCCACTGAGCAGAAGTGACGTGCTTTATACTCACATGTGTAAAGAAACAGCCTCTATTTAAAGGACTCAATTTTCTACACTCCACATGCCTCTGCCTCTGCCTCTGCCTCTGCCTCAGCAACCAAGGGTACTACGTGCTTCAGATGGCATGTGGTGAGATGGTGGCATCATCTCCAACAACCTGGATCGAGTAAACTATGTGGATCAGAGTCCCTCCCCCAATCTTCAATCTGAATTGGACATGCAATATGAGTGAAAAATAAATCAAGAAATAAACACTGTTACAGTAAGCCACTGAAGTTTAGGGATTCATTTGGTACCATAGTATAAGCTTAGCCAACTTGACTGATACAAGGGTTTGTAAATGCTTAATTTACACTGATTTTTATCATGCCTTCCAAGGTAATATACAAAAGACTACCTGATTTACTTTGTGAAGTTCACGTATCTGTTTTTCAGGCCTTTCTTGGCATTTTTATATTCTGACAAGTATTCTCAGGTTCCAAGATTATGTATTAATTTACCATTTAAATAATGTATATGAATAAGGACTTTCTTGACATTTTGCAACCAAAAGCAAGCAAACAAACCAAGCACAATGAGTAGAATGGTGAGGTATGTGTGTGCCAAGTCATGTCTGCCTCTGTGCAATCCCATGGACTGCAGCCCTCCAGGCTCCTCTGTCCATGGGATTATCTAGGCAAGATAATCCACTAGAGTGGATTGCCATGCCCTCCTCCAAGGCCTCTTCTGAACCTAGGGATCGAACCCACGTATCTTATGCCTCCTGCACTGACAAGCCAGTTCTTTACCACTAACGCCACCTGGGAAGCCCGAATGGTGAGGTAGTGATGCTAAAAAGAACCTATCAATCATCCATCACTCCCAATTTAAAACTTTAGTTTCAAAAAAAAACCACCAAACTTCAGTTTCATCCGTATCAGCCTAATTCTCTCAATAAATGTTTTTATTATCAGAAAATTTATAAATTTGAACTTGTAAACCACATGTATGATCATGTGTGTATGTGCTTAGTTGCTCAGTTGTGTCCAACTCTTGGCGACCCCATGGACTGCAGCCCTCAGGCTCCTCTGTCCATGGGGATTTTTCAGGCTAGAATATTGGAGTGGGTTGCCATTTCCTTCTCCAGGGGATCTTCCCAACCCAGGGATCGAACCCAGTTCTCCCACATTGCAGGCAGATTCTTTCCTGTCTGAACCACCAGAGAAGCCCATGTATGATCATAACATGCCATTTTTTATATATTGGTTTTAGGTAAAACTATATTTTAAAAAGTTTGAAAAGTTTTGCTTTTAGAGCTATAAAGAGTAAGTCTCAATTCTCTTTCACATGCTGCCCTGAATTTAGTAATAGCAACCTTGTCAGACTTGAGAGAGACCTTGGTGTTAATCTAGTTTCACCTCTTATCTTCATTGATTTGTTAGCTAAGGCCCAGAGAAGTTAAGTGAGTCTCTCAAGGTCAGATACTTGGGTAAGAACAGAGCCAGAAAAACTCAGGGCTTTCCTACAGTGAGAGCTGCACCATGAAGTTCTCCTTCTCTGACCTGAGCAATTAATTGTGACTCTCAATTCACTCAAACTTTCCCATAAACTGTTTTCCAATGTGAAAACTAGATCAAACTATTTACTTTTGAGATGCAGATTTCTTCTATAAAATAAGAACAAATAATACCTTGTAGTCCTATTTTGACTAGAAAGACTATCATACTGTTCAGACCCATACTCTTGGACCCACTGTCCCCTGACCTTAAGTAAACAAACTAAAATTTATTGTCTTCAGAGTTCAGTCTATATACTTCTAGATCAGGGTTCAGCAAAGTATGGCTTGTGGATCAAATAAAGCCTGATACCTATTTTTATCAGTGCAGTTTTATTGGAACACAACCACACCAGTTCATGTAATGTATTGTCCATAGCTGCTTTTATGTTACAACAGTAGAGATGACTAGTTGTGACCGAGACCTTATGACCCAAAAGCCCCCGGATGTATTCCCATGCTGTTTTCGGAAAACTTCTGCTCACCTATGTTCTAGGTTGCTGAGATCATTTTGAAACTACTCTTGATTATTTCACTGAAATATCATTCCATTATCTCTTTCCCTGAGCCAACTACAAATTTATCTCTATTGAAGTTGTTCACAAAAATATTTGGGACTTGGGCAGGCGAAGTCCCAGGGCACAAACACAAGAGAATGACTTCATGGTTGACAGTCATTACCACTCACTGGACACACTCATCTGAAGAGTATGAATACACTACCTGAGGCCATCACCCAGTTTTCATTTGTCAGCTATGTCATGTAACTGTTAAATGCTTTTCTAATTAGAAGATGAGGAACAGACTCCAAGTGATCACTGTTTTTCCTTTCCCAATGGGCTTCAAACGAACTTTGTGGTTTCTGTATCCTTCAACTCCACTTTAGCCCCATCTTTTGAAATCTGAATTCTTCATCTGATTATACTTTTCTGGCAGATCTCCTACTACTCAGATAGAGACTGGTTATCTGTCAACAAATATGATTATTCTTCAGAGCTTCCTTTTTGGTCTCGGTGCCCAAGTGACTGAGTTCTAGCCAATGCAAGGACTGCAAAAGTGATGTGTGCTTTTTTCCAGGCCTGGCCCACAAGGGCATCCCACTGATGACCCTCGTGGCCCTTTCCTTTCACAGCCTGGAAGCAGATGAACACAAAGACCCGAGAAGCCATTTGTTAAAGAAGATCATGAGAGAGAAACCATGAGATGGAAGGAAGCTGGGTCCCTGAATCTTCTCTTAGAGGGGAGCCACCCACCACTGAGGAACATCAGTTTCAGACTTGAACAAGAAATAAACTTGTATTTAAGCCACTATCTATGTTTTGAGGTTTGTTTGTTATAAAAGAGAGGGTAATTTTCATAAGTTCTCTATCATTCTCATCATATTACTACCAAAGGCTCTATGACCGAAGATCCAAATATCCTCATAATCCAGTTTTCTGGATAAAGAGGTTACAAGTCATGCAAAGTCGATGTAAGAGGTCTTTCACTATATCCTCACCTACCTTTGCCTAAATTTCCACGTCACAGTTTTTGTTGTGTATTTTCTAGTAGTTTGTTCATTAAAAAAAAAAAATAATGTCCAGAGGTTTGTGAACTGATTCAATCATCGAACAGATGTGGTGCTCTCACTAGGCACCAAGGAAGTGCTAAACCAGACAGATGAACTTCTGCTTCTAGTAATTCCTGATTGGTATTCTTAAAGAACTCAGTAAACACTGCCGAGACACAGTTTCCTAGCTATCACACTGGGATAGCAAAGGTGACCTAGTGTCTAATGAAAACAATGTAAGTTCATGACATTTGACACAGGCCTGACATATGATCGGTGCTCTGTTGGGAAGGAAGAAAACTTTCCTCTACCCTTCTAGGTTCCCCTGTCTAGACTAAGAATTAAATTATTGACGTAGAGCTCATTCATTCTCTTTTTTTTTTTTTGCAGGGCTGGGGGGAAGAGGGCTGCATGTGGGATCCCAGTTCCCCAACCAGTTTTCAAACCCATGCCCCCTGCATTGGGAGCACAGAGTCTTAACCACTGGACTGCCAGGGAAGTCTTGCACATTCATTCTTAATTGAGAAAAGCAAAGCGAAATAGGCACAGTTGTTCTGTCTGTTAATAGTTCTGCAATGTACATCTTCCTCAAGAAGACAGCCTCACATTTCCTTCTTATTTTCCTTTATTTTAGGACTTCTCTTTTCATAGAATGATGCTAGTTGGCTGGTTCCTTTAGTGTTTTGGAAAACTCACTCTGGGTTTTAACCTTTCTGACACTCTTCACAGTTTTGGGCCACCCTTTTTTTCTTGGTTAAGATACCCTTCCTACTCATCTCTTTCAGGATCTAAGTTGAGAGAACATGGTAAGTCACTGAGTTCTCCCCATTTTGCTTTCTCAATAAGATTAGTTATGACTTTGATTTTTTTGGAATGCTACCATCTTTCCTCTCTTTAGTTCTAATCTTTGATATTTAATTAAAATGTCTTATTTATTATCTGTCTGGTCAGGGAAGTTCCACATGCTGTGTGTTGTGGCCAAAAAAAATTTATCTATTTGCTGTTGCTATTGTTGGGTTTCCCCAGAGGCTCAGGTGATAAAGAATCCACCTGCCAATGCAGGAGGCTGGGGTTTGATCCTGGGTTGGGGAGATGCCCTGGAGAAGGAAATGGCAACCCACTCCAGTATTCTTGCTTGAAGAATTCCATGGATGGAGGAGCCTGATGGGTTCCTGATGAGTCCAGGGGGTTGCAAAGAGACGTGACTGAGAAACTTTCAGTCTTCCTAGTGGAATTCAACAAGGACAGGGACTCCCTTCACTGCTTAGAACAAGGCCCAGCACATAGTAGGCACTCAGGTGTTCTATCTGTTGAATGAATGGATGAGTGAAATCATGTTCATCTTTTCTCTAAATGTGATCTCAACTCACTCTTCTATAACTCAAGAAACAGATGTAATTAAGTCCAGCTTATTCCTTCTCTTCATTATTAAGGAACCAACTATCCAATTCCGTTCTCTCAAATTGTGGTTCTCAGACTTGGCTACACATTT